GATGTGCAGATAAAATGGTCTATGTTATTTAGCCAAAAAAGGAATGAAGTATTAATATATGCTACAACATGGATGAATCTTGAATAGATGGTAAGTGAAAAAAGCTGGGTACAAAAGTCTCCATATTGTATGATCCAGTTATACAAAATGTCCAGAATAGGAAAACAAAGAAGCAGAAAATAGACTAGTGGTTGTCTGGGGCTGGGGAGAAGGGATAATGCAGACTCCTAAGGGGTCAGTGTTTCTGTTAGGAGTAATGAAAACTTTCTAGAATTAGTAGTAATAGCTACAAAATATATTAAATATTTTTTGAATATGTTAAAAACCACTGAGTTGTACACTTTAAAATGGTAAATTAAAAGATTTTTTTGATTGAAGTATAGTCAGTTTACAATGTTGCATGAATTTCTGGTGTACAGCATAATGTTTCAGTCATACATATACATACATATATTCCTTTTCATATTGTTTTTCATTATAAGTTACTAGAAGATTTTGAATATAGTTCCCTGTGCTATACAATAGGAACCTGTTGTTTATTTTATATATAGTAGTTAGTATCTGCAAATCTCAAACTCCCAATTTATCCCTTCCCACCCCTAAAAGGGTAAATTGTATGGTATGTGAATTATATATCAATAAAAAATTTAAAAAAGTATTTGGTATTGCTCAAAGGTTATTTAGGACCCTGCCAGGGACTCTAATGTCAACTTGAAAAGTTTTCCTAATTACAAAGAGCACCAACTGCCTCACCCCTCATCCTCCAACTCCAATCCCAGTGCAGCCTAGATCCATAATCCCTAGCAAGCTACTCCTAACGTAAAAAAGTAGGAGAGACATCAATCAGCATTTAAAGGTGAGTTGAGACACACCTGACATTTGCAGACATTCTCTGTAAGGGGGTGGGAGGCGGTTGGACAGAAAAACAGAAATAATGGAAGACAAACTGTCAAATCCCAAGAAGGGATCACATACTGAGTATAAAAGAAAAGCAATGTCTCCAGAGAACCCTCTTTTGAAACCCTCTCCAAGTGTTGACCATACATTAGTGTGGCCAGCATAATCGCTTTCGGTACAAATGTAGTTGATGGAAGATGGGAGGTCAGCTCTGAGCAAATGCGAGACTTGGCTGCCTGCTGGGCCCCTGCCTGGGTTCCCACTTTTCTGGCTTAACCTCCCCCTTTCTGTCTCCCAGGATGTGTGACAACCTCTGAAGGGATGTCAGTGTACTGCATGATGAGTTGCTTATTTAACTGCTTATAAAGCTAACTCTGAAAAACCCAATTGATTGTCTTTCGAAGATGCTAGGGAACCAACTTTTTTTTTTTTGAAAATACCTTTTATATCGTCTTTTCTATGCAAACTGTACCTCTGAAGAAAACAAAAATGACATGGGTACTTAATTAGAATATTTTAACAAATTCATAAGGAAAGAATAAAACAATTGGGATGTCAGTGTAATCTTAATGCATTAACAAACAGAGTAATGGAGGACTACTAATGACTACTAATATTACAAGGAGAGACATTGCCTCCTGATGAAGAACACTTCATCACCCATGAGGCTGTCACGACCAAAACTAAAAAAAAAAAGGACCTGAATTGCATAAGTGGAACATAGAGGCTGGAGGAACAGACTAAGCTTCGCTCTGGGAAAGCAATCAGGGAAATCCAGACTGTAGGAAACTCTACAGAAAAGTGATCCAGTTTCTTCATTAAGTGAATTGTAAGGAAAAATAAGAAGATGGAGGGGAAAACTTATGGATTAAAAGATAACTTAAAAAAAAAGCAGGTAAAACTAAACTAGTATTTAGGAACATACACTTAGGTGATAAGACTGAAGGAAAGTGGGAAGTGGTTACACGTAGTGGTTACTCTAGTGGGGAGAGAGGGGTGGTGGCTGAGAGGGGGGCATTTAGGGGGCATTTGGGGTGACTAGAAAAGTTTTCTTATTGTGGGCAGTGTTTACGAGAGTGCCAGCCTTAAAGCAGCCTTATTTTAACCTGAACATTTGTTTTTTATGGTTTTCTGTCACTTAACAATAAAAAAGATTTTAAAATAAAAATTAAGTTAATTAAATAAAGTCAGCTATGCTGGGAGAGATGAGAAACAAAGCCTGGAAGATGGAGAGAGAGAGATGAAGAAGAGAAAACGGTCATATTTATGACCACACGATGACTTTTTACAGCAAAAGCAGAACCCATTGCTTTATTACAAAGATGATTATTGGAGTCACTCAGGACTTCACTCTTTAAAATGCACACTTAATTTGGCCACCTAGAATTCTTGCCATGGAATTACGGTGGAGATGGAAGAGTCAGTAGAGAAGAGACTGAAACAGAGACTGGCTAGGTGATGGTGTGTGGGGGTTGGAGTAACGGGAAACATCTTGAGGCCACTGTTTGGTAGAAGAAGGCATGTGGCACAGTGTCAGCACTGACCCCCATCAGTGAGACACCAGCATCCTCAGGAGCAGCTGGAGAAGTCAGGACCCGTGTGGGGAAGTGTCAGCCGAGTCACAACCTTGGGAGCAGAGAAGTGAGGCTTCTGTGTCTGCCTGTCCACATGTCTGTCAGCGTGACATTTTGGGTCAATAAATATTCATCAGATGCACCACTGCAGCTGACCTATACCATCCCCTCTGCTGCAGGAGAAAATAAACAGGGCTTGTAGGTGCAGCGGACTTCTGCCCTTTTCAGAGATGCCATTGTGCTCTGTGTGTGAGCCAAGAGTTCAGGCAAATTTTTGCCTCTCTGGGTCCCCTTGGGACTTGCGCATCTAATATCTGGCAAGGACCCAACTCCTTCCCTGTGTGTTAAACAGTAATACAGTGCCGCCAACATGTCAACTCCGGGAGAATAACATTCAAGGGACGGTTAGTCAATCAGTGAGCAACTCTCTCTGCAACCCACCAACGGGAGGGTTCTCCCAGCATGCTTTCTTTCTTCCTTCTCTGTGCCCTCGACATCTCTGTCCATACATCTGTTTCAGCTTTTCCTTTCATTGCTATTGTCTATGTTTCTGTCTCCACTGTTAGACTGGGAACCACTCATTCAATAAACATGTATTGAGCAATTCTTATGTGCAAAGCATTATGTTAAATAAAGTGGCAAACAAAACAGTACCTCATAGACCTAAGAGGGAGCTATTAAACAAAAATACAAATAAATGCATAATTACACATGTTTTCAGGGCTAAGAAAGAAAAGAAAAAGGTAAGATGAGTGATTTCATAGGGAGATCTGTTTGATATTGCCACATTAAGGGAAAACTTCAGTGGGAAGGAATAAGTAGGGATTGGCCAGGCTAGGGATGGGGAGTGTGTCGCTGGGCAGGGAGTATGTCCAGAGCATGAGGGTGAGAGGGTTACTGGGTGCAAACCAGAGGTGGAGAGGTAGGCAGCGCCGTTATCTGAAGAGGCCGGTAGATCTTGATAAGGATCTTAGATTGTTAACCTACGCACAACGGGAAGGAGAAGACATTTAGAAATGGGGGACCAGCTAGTGGACGAAAGGAGTGATGAAGGAGGTATGGACTAGAGTGGGGAAGGGAGTGATGAAAAGTCAGCAGATCTGATACGTATCTGGGAGGCAGATTTGGTAGGAATCTTGGGTGGATGTGAGTGGTAAAGGTTCGTTTCACAACTTATGGGAAGAACACCCAGGTAGGTGAAGTTGCCATTGACTAGCATAGTCCAACATCCAAGCAATACAAGGGCAGCACACAAGTGCACAAATGCTAAAGCATGACTAAACTCATTCATGAATATTGACGAAAAAACTCTGAATTAAAAAAATTAGTAAGTCAGACAAAGATAAATGTATGATGTCATTTGTATATTGAATCTAACAAAATGATACAAATGAACTTATTACCAAAACAGAAATAGTCTCACAGACATAGAAAATAAATTTATGATTACCAGTGGGGAAAGGGGAGGTAGGGATAAATTAGGAGTTTGGCATTAATACATATATAACAGATAACCAATAAGGGCCTACTGTATAGCACAGGGAACTATCTTCAATATCTTATAATAACCTACAATGGAAAATAGATTTTTACATATATATGTATATGTATATGTATCTGAATCACTTTCCTATATACCTGGAACATTGTAAATCAACTTCAATTTTAATACTTTGTAAAATACTTCAATTTTAAACAATGAGTAAATAGAATCCAGTGGTATAATACTAGTAACTTCCATGTATTATTTACCGTGGGTCAGACACTACTCTGGTGAAGTTAACTCTTTCATCTCAGACCACAACATAAGTACTATTATTATCTTGTTTTATCGATGGGTGGATTGTGTTTTGGAATAATGAGCTACTTTACCTGTATCAGTGTGGATCACTCTCCCAGACATAATGGAAGCAGAAACAGCCAGAGACTGCTTCCCACGTATGATTCCGTCCGGTCTACGCAGTTTAAGGACAGGCAATACTAATCTATGGTGTCAGGAGGGGGGTTACACTGTGGGGAACTGCTGCCTGGAAAGGAAAATGAGGGGGCCTTTTTGGGTGCTGGAAATGTTCTTTTTCTAGATGTAGGTGATTGTTATGTTATATATGCATACCAGCCTGTAAACTTAATGTTTGTACACTTTATTATATATGTTTTGCCTCAATTTTAATAAAAGACAATGACAACCTTGGAAAAGATATTGGGAGGACATATATAAGACAAAAAACTTAGTATCTTTATAGAGAGCCCTAAAAACTAATTTAAAAAAAGTTTAAAAATCAATCTATTAGTGGACAAAGGACAGAAACACTGTCCTTTTGTCCAGTGTGAACAAATAAAGAAATATCAGTGAAAATAAATATATATGAAATGTTTAAGTAGTGAACTAAGAAATGCAAGGTAAACATTAATGAGATATTTTTCTCCTAACAAACGACTAAAATAAAAACGGTCGATAACACCAAGTGTTACGATAATGTGGGGAAATTCGTATTCAATGTTGCACCTGGGACGCTTCTAGGGGAACCGAAGTGTGGCGGTGGGGCAGGGGCTGGCAGCTCCAACGACAACCATGGCATATACTGGCTTCACTGTGCCTCTCATTGTGATGGGTGTGTTCTGGGGCTTCACTGGCTTCCTGGTGCTCTGGTTCATCCCTAAGGGTCCCAGCCGGGGCGTTATCATCACCATGTTGGTGTCCTGTTCAGTTTGCTGCTATCTCTTTTGGCTGACTGTAGTTCTGGCCCAACTCAATCCTCTCTTTGGACCACAGCTGAAAAATGAAACCATCTAGTAGCTCGAGTATCACTGGCCTTGAGGAAGAACACCTACTCGCCAGTGCTCAGCCATTGAGGTCGTGAAGAGAATGCCTTTAGAGGCAAAATCACCTCCATTCCCAGACCACCTTCCTCGACTTGCCTCGTTTGGCCATCAGCTGCCTTAAACATTCACACCACACTTGAATATCTTAGTCCACAATGTAGTATTTTTTTCCTATCACCTTTTTTGCACTTTGATGAATGATGTGCCTGTTTAACCTAAACTGTGCTGCCTCCATAAAATGTTTACGTACTCTTCTGAGACAGAAAGTGCTATTCTTCTGGAAAACACGTTACTCTCTCCTTGGAACCTGTGGATTTGAAGATGGCAGCTAACAACATGGGAATCAGTGAAGTGTTTAAAAACTGTCACAAGACAGTAAGACTCCAGCGGGGCAGTCAGTAGGAAAACATGTTCAGAGGGAAAAATCTGTCTCACCAGACTTATACCAAAGTATATATATTTTCAGGATGAAATTCTTATTTCTGCTATCTTTTGAAATAAGTTATTTTTCTGCTTTCGATGGAAAAAAAAGTTGTACTTGGAAGTATAAACTGTTACCAATTTTCTGAAGCCAGTTTCACTGAATGTATCAAAATTCTATCCACTGCATGTACTTGAAACAGAAATTCTCTTTCTCTAAATTCATCATAAGGAGTTACTTCAGCTATATATTTAGCTATATGGATGTTCAACATAACTTTCTTGATAAAAGCAAAAAATTGGAAACTACTCATTAATATGTAGTTAGTGAAAAAAATAGGTGATTAGTGAATAGGTCATTAGTGAAAAAATTATTGTATATTCATACAACAGAACAATATTCAGCCATTAAAAATAATGTTGATCAATATTTATCAGCATGAGAAGATACCCACAACATAGTCTAAATTGTTAAAATTGAGTACAAAATCATATATAATTATTATGTAAATATACATACAAATGTGTGTGTATATTTATAACATAGATATGTATACATGAATAATGTACATATTATACATTTATAACTACATTAGATGGATGGGTATGAACCAAAATGGTAAGAGTACTTATCTGTTGGTAGAATTATTGGATGATTCTTATTTCTTCCCTATAATTTTCCTATACTTCATGAATTTTTTATAATCAGAATATATTTCAGTCATATTTATGTGAATATCTATATCACTCAGAGAGGCAGAGCAAGGAGAGATAACCAAGTTTGTTGACTCCAATTTACATCAGCGGAGGGTGAAGCCATTTCTTAATCTACATAGAAATGCTTCTATCACACAAGTCTAATGCCTAAATGAAAATCTTGTTTAAATGTAAGCAGAAATAAATATTAAATGTACGAGGAATAACCATATTGAAAATGTTGCCGACCAGTTACATGTATACTCTGACCTCTGCCACCATCACCCACTTTGGGGTGTGTGACTGAACAGCCTAAAACAGCTTTTGAGAGAAACCTTGTGAAAACATTGCCTGGGGAACTGAGATCACATTTCCACTTGGTTATGAAATGGAGAATTTAATTGACTGGGTTTGATGCAAGAAAACTGCCTTTTCTGAAGAAACTGGGGAAGTTGTTAGATTCTTTATTAATCAAGAGAAAAATGTAAGATTGAGTGTCTAAATATTTTAAAATAAAAATATTTTGGAATAGATATTGCTACCTATATATGCATAGATAATAATTTTTGTTTCAATAAAATCCAAGATGTGTTTACCCTAAGGGCCATTTCTATCGACTGGGGTGAAAGAGTCTTGTTGCGTGCAAGGAAAACTGAAACTTTAAATTTCTGATTCATTTCCCTTTAAATCATCCAAATATTGCTTTTTATGGGCTATGTAATAGCCAAAGAGTCTCTAAGGGAGTATTAAAGCATTTCAAGACTTGCTTCCCTTAAAATAAAATAATAAAATAAATGTTAAAATGGAGGAAGTAGGCTCCAAGTAGCTCCACTTGATCTACAAAAGTTCTCATCAGTCCAAGATCTAAAATGTCTAAGTGGTTCTGAATTTTCTAAATTCTCCTTTCCTGTTAAGTATTGATCCTTGCATGGAGACTGCCTTGAGTGTTTAAAATCTACCTTCCTATCAGAAGAATAAACTTTGTCCCTGAAACCAGAACACCCTGTTTTTCTCTATCAGAAGTTACCTCGAGATGTTTTAGGGTAAAAATATTATACTAATCTAAACCATATGCAAGCTGACATCTAAACCAAAAGACAATTTCTGAAAAATTATACCTACCTAGGAGAGTCTACTTTTCAAAACCATTGACTTGTTCAAATAGTGGAGTGTGCAGCTCATTAAGGGTCAAATTAAGAAGAACTACACATGAACAAAAGGTGGACTCCTCCCTTTATCATTATTTTTGAGATGCACATCCCTGAATAGTTGAAAGAAATCAGGTCACTTTTGCCTTAAACCGTCCTTTACCTTAATTCTCCCATAAGTGTACTTACATGAATAACTAGGGTAATTTGGAAAGGTTTAAGAAGTCTAAGATTGAAAAAGTCTTTTCTCAAACAATAGTTAAAGGCATTGTACCAATTTGTATAGCAGAAGAAATCCACCGTTAAGTTCCCCATTTCCAGGCAGCTGGAAAAGTGATTTTTCGGATTTTTGGCTGGATAAAGATGACCTCAAATCTGAAGACAGGTTGGCAGAGATAACAACATAGTATCTTTAGCAGAAGTCAGAGGAAGCCATTCAGAAATTAACTAACTCATTCCATTAATATTTACTCAGCGCCAACTATGGACAGACGATGTCTGGCAATGGTGATATAACAGCCAACTAGAGAGACATGTATTTTCAAAGAAATGGATGACTAGAGATCTGTTCGGTTTGGTAATTACAAATATTGATTCCAGGACCCTTTAGTGGCATGTTTTGTATTTTTCAGAGAAAGGAAATATGGAAGTACAAACACCCACTGATGAATCTTCATTTTTAGTCCTGAGATATTTGGTCAGTGTTGTGCATAACCACTGGTACTCTCCTAATCTGGGATCCAGTAACCTCACTCTATAGCACATATGATTCACTCAGATGTCCATTGTTTATCTTTAAATCTTTAGTCTGTATTCCACCTCTGCCCTACTCACTCCCACCTTGCCTTTGCCTCCTACTTCACCATGAAAAGTTGAAGTCATTGAACTTGTACTCTCCCAACTCTTCGCTTTGCCACTTTCGTCTATTTGTCTAGGTCCTATATTTTTAGTGCAATTCCAATAAATAATATCTGTAATATATCAGAAGAAACTTGAAAATGACATTAAAGTTCATGCAGAAAAATACATTGTCTGGATACTCAAGGAAATCTTAAAAAATAAAAATAAGTGAGAGATAATTAGTTCTACTACATAATGCAATGTATTTTAAAATCTCAACAAGTAAAAAGGTTTGCTATTCAATAAAAGATGGAAAACCAAAGGGACAGAATAAAGAGTTCAGAAACAGGCTCAAATATCTATGAAAGTTTGGCTTATGATAAAGGAGACACTTCCAACCGGGTGAGGAGGGAAGGGAAGAATTCAAAATATGATTTTGGGCCACTGGCTAACCATTGGAAAAATATTAAAACTGTATTTCTCTCATAAAAAATAAATTCCAGATGGATTAAAGATATAAATGTATAAAACAAAAGATTTGGAAGAAAGCATGAGGAATAACAAAGACTTTACCTTATCTCTTGAAACAACTGAAAAAAAGACAAATACAAGAAACAATTTTAAAACATTGGATATCAGGCAATAAAAGACAACAGTCTCTGAGAGGTGGAAACAGATGACATGAGTCCCAGGATTGCCCCAGCTCACTGCTTGGAGAGGTTCCAGGAGAGGTTTCAAGGCTGCACTATAAGAAAGGGGAAGCCAGTTAAAGTCCAGTGGTCTCTCTAAATTGAGGAGATGCAGCTGAGAGTCCAGGAAGGTCAAAGTAGGTAATGTTCAGCGTGGAGTACTAGAGAGAAAAGAGCTGCACAGAGAGAGCTCTGGAGGTCTTCAGAGGGTCCCCTTGCAGTATTCAGGTCAAAAAGGCTCAGCAAATGTATGTGAGTAAACCAGCAGAGGACCCAGACGCCGGGGAAGCAACCAAAGGTCTTGAAAGAACAATGCCTCATGAGACCTGGAAACAGCTCCTGTTTGCCACCAACCACAGTTAAAATACCTCAAAACTCACAGGGAATCAGGAAGAGTACTCAGAAGGGTTTGTCTTATTAATAGGGGAAAAATAGCCCTTGATTGAATGTTGCTCTAGTCCTGTCTAACAACATTTAACAAAATCTAAGCAGATCACTGTTTTCCCAGTAACTGTGTTCTAGAGAAAACTTAAGAACATTTACTGCAATACAAAAGAAATCAGTATCCAATAAGGTAAAATTCACAATGTCTGGCAACCAATAAAAAATTACTAGGTATGCAATGAAGCAGGAAAATATGACCCATAATGAAAAGAAAAAAAAACCATACATAGAAACTGAGCCAGAAATGACTAAGGTAATGGAATTAGTATATGAGGATTTTAAATCAGTGATTATAAATGTAATCCACACCATCAAAAAGCTGAAGAAAAGATTAAGCATTCCACGTAGAGACCTGGAAATCATCGAAAGAAACAGATCAGTTTTCTAGGAGTGAAAACTACAAGGTCTGAAATGAAAAAAAAAAAAAAAAACTGATGAGAACACCAGCATATCAGACATTGCAGAAGAAAGTATTAGTGAACTTACAGACAAAGCAATGGAAGAAAGAATGAGTCATTTCTTAAAAACAATTTTGAAATGAAGCATGTATTTAAATACATGAATAAAACAGGGAAGCCAAAAAGGAAAAAAGACTGCCCTATTTGACATATGAAAATTAGAAGCTCCTTGAAATAAAACATGAAACAAAAATTTCATTTTATTTTTCAGTTTGAATTTTTTTATTAAAATATATTTGATTTACAAAATTATATTAGTTTCAGGTGTACAACATAGTGATTCAATATTTA